GTGATGGGGGCCTATCGGGTTTGTTTGGGGTGGGTTGAGGTGGGGTTTCAAAGGGGAGAGGTGGGGGAAGGCACACGGGTGAAACGGGTGCGGCCTGCTCAGCAATAGGGGGGGGAGCTTCAAGTGTAGTGTAGGGTAGTTGGGGTGGCGAGAGGGGGGGAGTAGGGAGCGCGGCGGTGGTGAGCAAGAGCCTTGAGATTCTCGCGAGATTGGGGAAGGGACGCAGGCATCGGCAGCAGCGGGCGCCGGGCGACATTCGGAGCGGCGTGCAGAGCGACGGCGCCCGCGGCAGTGGATCTAGCCCCGGCGCTGGGAATCCCCCTTTCCCTGTGAGTGCTGACAGGCCCACGGCAGGGTTGCTTGCCCTGGGGCTTGTTAATCCAACCTGCCCAGCAGCTGTCGTTGCTCATGCCATGCCAGGATGCTGCAGCCGGCTTACACAACCCCGCCGCCTCGTCTCCATCCGCACCCCCAAACAGCCTCTACGCACCCCACCCCCCAAAATGATAATACGGGGTGTCCCTCTTATGACCCCATATGACCCCATCGACAGCCAACCCTGCCCCCCACCACTCAAACCCACCAGCTGGAAGGCGGGCAGGTGGTGCTCCGCCACCTTGCGCAGCCGCTCCCGGTTGAAGCTGCCGTACGCGGTCGCCAGCTCAGCGTACGCCTTGGCCTCCGAGTCGACCGCCTGGCGCGCGCGGGTCGACACGAACCGCGGCAGCGGCCGCAGCGAGCCTGGGGCCGGCGTGCGCGACAGTGCGGGGCGCTTTTCAGGAGAGGGGTCGAGGTTACCAGGATTTCAGGCGGTCAGCGCCCCGCAAACCGCTCAAGAGCAAGCAGGCCAGGAATCTGCCACGCCGCAGCATCGTTCGGGCACCCCCGGACTGGCGGCAGTTCGAGGGGCGCACTGCGTGGCGCATCGGCGGGAGGGATCGCGTCCACTCATCCGCACGCACCCGTGTGTATGAGGCTGCCCAAGACATACTTTTTGTAGCAGGCCACCTGAGATGGTGGGGGGACCGGGTGGGGAGCGCGGCAATATGAAGAAGCTTGTGACGTGAGGTGGCGATTGCGTGCATCTTTGGGTGCCACAGGGTGTGCCTGTGGTTTTGCACACACACACACACACATACACACACACACTCTCTCTCTCTCTCTCCCTCTCTCCCTTCAGGGGGAGGGGTTCCAGGGTGGGCGCGCACACCGCAAGTGATGACGGATCAACGCGCAGCCTACTGCACCACCGGCGTCTGCCGCCAGCCTCCCCCACACCCCGCCGACCTCGCCGCAACCAGAGCCCTCGCAGCGCCCGCGCCGCGCCCGCTGTCCGGCAGGCAGGCAGGCAGGCAGGCAGGCAGGCAGGCAGGCAGGCAGGCAGGCAGGCAGGCAGGCAGGCAGGCAGGCAGGCTGGGAACTGGCGCGGGGCGGCACTTGACGGGCTGAGGTTCGGGTGGGATGCTGTTTTGCGGTTTCATAGGTCACCGGTCACCCCTCACCGTGATGGCGTTGCCCACGTACGTAGGTGCGGTCACCGCCTGCAGCCACAGCTCCAATGCGCGCGCCCACTGCTTGCGGCCTTTGATTATTGGGGGGGTGGGGGTGCGGCGCAAGCGGGCGGGGGAAGGTGGAAGGGGGCCAGATGAAGTGACGTCACAGTGACTGCACCATGAGAGGCGTCGAGCCAGCTTCGCAGTCCCGGCAAAAGCAATAACTACCAATAAGGGGTCGACGCTGCAACACAGGGCCTGCGGCGGACCCCCAAAAACTCGCTGTCGAACAGACCATCAGCTGACCAAACGGTGGAGCTGCTCGATCGCTTTGAAGCCGCCTCGGCCGCAGCCCCCACGGCCCCACAGCACCAGCGCATGCATGCAGCTGGCCCACTTGCAGGTCCACCCCGAAAGATGATAACAGCTCTAGTAGCTGGGCATACCGCAGCCCGGCCCCACACCTGCTGCCACCATGCCCCCGTAAAAGCAGTATAGCAGTACGTCAGTGGGCGCCACCCCGGTCTTGGCGGGCTCCACTGAGAAGCAGTCGCCCTCCAGCAGGGGTGACGCCGCGTTGTAGGCCTTGGACAGCAGGCAGCTGCCCGGGGTAAGGTGGATGGGGCGAACGCGGGGTGTAAGGCTGCGTGTGTGTGACTTGAGGCGGGGCAGCGAAGGCTAGAGAGGGAAAGAGAGGGAGCGCGTGTGTTAGAGAGAGAATAAGAGGGAGAGCAACAGTGTTTTTGTGTATTTTGTGCGTTTTGTGTGTGCGTGCGTGTGTGCGTATGTGTGTGTGTGTTGTGTGTGTGAGGTATGTGTGTGTAAGGTATGTGTGTGTGTTGTGTGTGTGTGAGGTATGTGTGTGTGTGAGGTATGTGTGAGGTATGTGTGTGTGTGTGAGGTATGTGTGTGTGTGTGTGTGTGTGCGTGTGTGTGCGTGTGTGTGTACATGTGTGTATGCATGCGTGCGGGTGAGCATGTGCATGTATGTCGGGTGACACCAGCACAGCCGCAGCAACGATCGGGCCGACAGAAACGCCCGCACGACCAATACTTCCCCATGCATACGGTTGCTGGATTGCATGGGATTCCATGGAATGGGATGCGAGCATATCAGGTCACGGGTCACATCGCAAGATGACTCACAGCTGCAGCACGTCCGCGTGCATGGGCGTGAGGTGCTCCGCCGTCGGCCGCACCCGCTGCAGCGCAGACAGCAGCGGCAGGATGCCCAGCCGCGGCGTGCCGGCCGCGACGCACTGGTCCTTGAAGCGCCGGCACAGCTCCGCGACTGCGAGGGACGTTAAGTTTGTTGCGCGGCAACCGCATTCAAACATGAATGGGCATGGGGGTGGAGGTGGGAGGGACCGAGGGGCCCTGCAGCCGCGCAGGGGGGGCCGCATGCATGAGAAACCGGCTGTCAGGAGCGCTCTCAAAGGGGTGGTCGGGATGTACGAGTTCAAGCCACACGGTCCATTCGGCGGTCCCTCCGGCCGATGGTTGTGCCGTGGCGGCGCCCCGCCGCGCCGCGTGCCATACAGGTGCTGGGCCGCTTGATGCGCGGCGCCGCGCCTCACCGACCGCCGGCGCCAGCTGTATCTGCGCCGCCGCGCAGTCCCTCAGGAAGCGTGCCGCCGCCTCTATGAACGCCTGGTCCCCCAGAGGGGCGTCCAGGTGCTTTGCATGCGCATTTCTGGGAGCATTCGAACATGATAAGTGCCAGGGAGCGGAGGTAGAGTTGGGGAAGCAGTGAGTGAGACGCAGCGGACGGACCGCACCAGCTGCGGCGCCTTCTGGCTGCTGTGCCGACCTCACCGACGCCGCTGCTGCGCGAGACTGCACGCCCCTTGGCGCCTGCTGCTTGCGCGCCGCCACTGCATAGATTGCTGCTCGTTAGGTGTAATATTCTTCAGCTTGCTGACCAATACGAGAGGCACAATCATGAAACTCTGGTTTGTGGCTGGCTCACAGGAGGTACAGGTATCCCAGAGAGTGCTGCACAGGGTCCAACTCCACCAACACAGCCGTCAGGGCGCCGTGGTTCTGATCTAGCAGCGCTTCCGACCCCTTTAGGGCATTGTGCAGCTGCTGCAGGGTGTCCTGGGCGGCGGGCGGCACGGCGAGGGAGGCGCAACGCGCCGCACCGGGGCACAAAGGTCGGCGGCGAGCGGGCACAGCCGTGCAACAGCCACTTTGTGTCATATCGTATACAACACGGCGCCGTTGTAGAGCCCAAGGGACGCAGACCATCGCATGCGAGCTCGGGATCGACATGTGAACGCGCACCTGCGAACTAAGACCTATAATCTGGTTTTTCAAAGCCTCCATTTTTGCTATAATGTACTCAAAGCCCCCCAAGGCGCCACGCAAGGCTCAAGATCGGCCAGATCAGCTCACATTCAAGCGCTGTGCGTCATGTATGAGCTGAGGATTACATGAATTGCAGCTTATTGATAAATAATTGCTGGCTGTGGAGAGCATGCGTCATCATATGATGTACCGTACGGTGTCTGCGCTCGCCTGTGCCTGTTGCGCAGCTGCCTGCTGCAGCAGTTTTTTCTTGGCAGCAGCGACTCCGCAGCACGTGAGGGGGGCAGAGGGGTTGCCTGCAGCCCAAAACTCACAGGAAAAATCAAATGTGTATAGAATGGCACAGCGGCTTCGTCAGCAGCTTCACCAGTGGAAGTCGAACACGTTGCTCGCTTACTCCACACTTTACGTTTCAACGCACAAAGGCGCCGACATGCGCGTACACACACACACACACAATCTCTCTCTCACTCACACGCACACACATACATACACACACGCACGCACGCACGCACGCACGGACACGCGCACACCTGTCGTGCGAGCGCACGCGTGCCTGCACACGCGCTCGCGCGACGAGCGCAGGCGCGAACAAACACGCGCGTCTCACAAACACAACAAGATTCCAGCATGTAAAATCGACCTCTACAGCCGTGGTGCCGGGCAACGAAATCACTCGGGATCCTGCACAGCGGCTGCTGTGGGTCCTCGGGGCATCGCAGCCGCGCCACAGGGGCAGGCGCAGCCGATGGCACCCAATTGTCAGTTACCATGTGTACATCCTGCCGGTGAGAGTGTTCGCAGGTGCTAGGCCAGGCATGAGTTTTGGTCGATGCGAACCGCTTTGCGTTTTCACAGCGGGGCGCGCGTACGAACTGATGCCAGAGGCGGTGTGGCCACTGGGGGTCCCCAGGGGGGCGACGGGACGACGCTCGGCGGCAGGGAGCTCTAGCTGCGAGTCATAACATCAAAGCTACAAGAGTGTGGTACTTGTGCACGCACGCAGCCTGCCTGGCACAGGACTAGAGCCTGAACGATAACTGGTCATCTGCAGGAAGCCTTGACCATGCAGGTGGGCTTTGCTTGGCCAAGCCGTACTCCTCCACGCCCAATTCAATGCCATATCGCGACCCAGCGCGTCCCTTGCCTGCCCCCTGGCAAAGCCTCCTATGCACGCAGCCGCTATGCGCCAGGCATTGGGACGGCAATGCGAGCAAGCAACATTGCCGTGGCGGCGGGGCAGCCCCGAACGGTAACCACGTGGGAGTACCAGGGTCAGTGAGCATTATTGACACTGCAGCCGGTGGGCCATTCAGGGCATTGTACTACGGTGTATCCCAGTGATCAAATCTGACACCTTTTATGTCACGGTCATGTGCTTCAACTAACGCGGTGCCAAGCCCGCGGGCCAAAAGCCGTTCGGTCAGGTTCCCCGGCTCGAGCACTCTGACAAGCCTTGGTTGTGCCGTGATAAACATAAAAGCATTTAGAGCAGTAACTGCGGGGCTGAGTGGGTAGGTGCAGTGGCATTGACCGCCGCTGCAGTGGCTGGCCAAACCACCGTGTGCAGCATCGTTTAGACGACGAGCGCGAAGCGCGACAGCAGAAGCAAGCGTCCCTACCTTCTTGTACTGCACGACCCATCGCATGTCTTTCCACGCACGCACCACATGGCCACGCGCGCAATGACGCAGCCGCGTGCGCGCTCCTGCACCCAACGCCCTCATCCCCACCTGCAGTGCAGCCCGCGCAATGAGCAAGCGCAGCGCGAGGCGCCGGGCCGCGGCCAGGCAGCAGGATCAGCAGGCACGCAATAATCAATCCCCAACCAGGAACGGCTCGCCCACCCCCAGCCCCGCCGGCACGGGCCGCGCCTCGCCGCGCAAAGCACGGCCGCCCCCTGCGCATGCTGGGAGCCCGCACGGCGGCGCGGCGGCCGCCGCACCACCGAATAAGGGCAGCGCCGCACCGCAGCTGCCGGAAAGCGGCGCGGCGCCGCCGCCGCGCGAAGCTGGCTCCGCACAGCGGTCGTTCATAGCTGTCACAGCGCCGACGCTGCCTATCCCGCGCGAAGCGGCTGCGCTTCCAATCGCGGACGGCGCGAGCTCACAGACAGGCAGGGTCAGCGACGCCCCGCCGCCCTCCTCGGGCGCCGCGCCGCTGCCTTCGCCTGCGGGCGTCCAGGCGCCGGCGCCGCTCGAGGGCGCCGCGGCCCCGCCGCCGCCCGAAGGCGGCGAGGTGCCGCAGCGCTCGTCTGGCGGCGCGGGGCCGGGGTCGGGGCTGGCGCTGCTTTCTGGCGGCCACAAAGTATCGGACCTGGTGGACCGCTTTGAAATAGAGCCTGGCAGCGGAGGCGCCAGACCCCCGCCCCCAGCCTCGGACGGCTGCCTACACACCCACGCAGCGCCAGCGGCCGCGACCACCTGCGACGCGGCTGCTGAAGGGCCGATGGAGCCGCAGCAGCAGCAGCAGCAGCAGCAGCAGCAGCAGCAGCAGCGCGCGGCGTCTCCGCCGCTGCCGCGGCTGCGTTCAACGCTGCCAGGCGCGGCCCAACCACCGAGCGATGCCGGCCGAATCGAGACTGCTACGGCCAACGCTGGCGCCGCCACCGACAGCCAGGACGCATCCGAGGGACCGGGCGCGGGAGCGGGCGTTGCGGCAGCCGTCGGCGGCCCAGCCGTGGCGGCGGCGGACGGCGCGCCGGCGGCGCCAGCGGGCGCGTCGCAGGGGGCGCCTGCGCCGAAGTATGCTGTGAAAGTGATCCCGACCATCAGCACCAGGTGCGTGCCTGCCTTGGCCGCCGCAGCACGCCTGTGCAGCTGAGCACCCAGCGACTTGGCCGGCCGCTTGGCGCCCGCGCCCGCATGCCTTGACTGCAAGGGACTGGTGGGCTAGGCCGGCGCAGCGCACACGGTGGAGGAAGGCGCGGCTGTGACATAGCTAATGTACGGGTAGAGCAGGGGCTGCGGGGGTTGAAGATTATCATGGCACTCATCTCATCCACATGCACACACACACACACACACAGCCACACACACACACACACACACAGCCACACACACAGCCACGCACGCACACACACACGCGCACACACACACAAACACCATTATGCCTTAACACTCGCAGATGGACAGAGCCTCGCATCTTCCGCCCCGCTCCAGCCCGGGCCGCGCCTGCGCCCGCCCCTGCGGCCGTCCCCGGCGCCCCCGTGCCGCCGGCGGCAGTGGCAGTGGCAGCAACCGCGACGCCGCCGGCCACGCTGGCGGCAAGGATGGTGCCCGGGATGGCAGGCAGCGTGGCGCGGGCCCTGGCCATCATGCAGCGCGCCGCGCCCGGCGCCCAGACGCCCCGGGCCCGCGCCGCTGCCGCTGCCGCTGCCGCTGCCGCAGCTGGTTCCGCTGCGCCTGCTTCCGCTAGGGCCTCGCCAAGGGCAGGGGAGGGAGAGGGCCTGGGGCCCCGCGCGTGGGAGTCTGGTGTGGCCGTCGGCGCCGACAGGCCCGCGTCGCCCCGGGGGAGGCTGTTCGCAGAGTCGGCGATCAGGATGAGCAAGGTGTTGATTACGAAAGGGGACAAGGGCCTAAGAAGCCTCAAGAGCATCGGCCGCCGCGCGCCGCCGCAGCCCCAGGCC